CCCGCCCCCCAGCAGACCAGGGAGACGTGGGTGGCGGGACCGCCAAGACGCGCTGCGGTACTGCCGCGGGTGTCCTCCACTGCTTTGCTCTGCGTCTCCCTGGTCTGCTGGGGGGGTGCATCTGGGTGTCCCGCCGCTCGCGTCCTCCCGGGCAAGAAAAGCCCCGTTCGTAACTGCGGATCTGACTTAAGTCGGATCCGCGTAACTCGGGGACTGCCTGTATAGATCTCTATGCAGCACAAAACAGATTAATCTAGGTTCAGCTCCCAGAGGAGCTGTGGGAAAAGGTTTCAAACTGTACTCCTTTCAGGCCATGTCTGCAGCTTTGGGGGCGTGGCCCTGTCCCAGTGTTTCAACTGAAGCAGGTTGGAGTGAAACTCAACAAGACAGGGTTACAGAGTGCCCACACTTTCAGGCTGCACAGGCTCATTGGGGCCTCAGCAGATCAGGTGACAGTCCTGAGTGGGGTCCTGACCTGTCACAAACAGTTCATTATTGTATCAGAGGCAGCAACATGGGGAGGGGGAAGAGAGGGAGAGGAGATGGCTCCCACCAGGCAGCAACATGGGGAGGGGGAAGAGAGGGAGAGGAGATGGCTTCCACCTATACCAGGAGCCTGCGTGTAACCATGATAGTTAACTGATGAGCCCAGGGATCACAGTTACACTATCACATCCCGAATAAGTGTGTATTCAAATGTTTAAACTTCATGAAAATTAAAAGGTTGTTATAATGTAACAAGAATAGATATGTGAGAACAATATAAGTAACAGCAAACACTTACAAGCATGTTGAACCCTGTAACTAAATTACCCATCAAAGAAATCTTATGAAATGCTATTCCAGGATTTAAGGACTTGAACAGAACATGTTAATTTCAAAACAAGTCAAGGACTAAGTGCATTCCTCACAATCTATTATCAAAAGAAAAAGACACATGGGTTCAGACATAACTCTATATGTAATTTTGGATACTTACTGATTGATAACTCCTACACAGAAACAGTAAGACTGTAAAAACTCCAACAACTGCAACACAAATCACTATTTCCCATGGGAAACCATAAAGATCAGGACCAGGTCTCATATCTTTAGGCAATGCTGCCATAACCTGAAAAACAAAATCAAGCAGAAAAAGTCCAAGTGGTTAAGAAAGGGACAGATTACCTATTTTTGACAAATGTAGATATTACTTATTGTTCACTGAGTCAACTGTGAAATGAAAGGACTCTTTGTATATTTACTTTTTCAAAACCCTGTGAAGTAGCAAATGTCAGAAGTCTATTTGGTTTTTAAATCTTCTGTTTATTTAGCGATGTATAGATGCACATGGTGTGTGTAATCAGAGCATAACCAGCTTTTTAAGTTTTCCTTCTGAACTTGTTCAGGGAAAGTTTCCTTCTTGAGGTGGTTTATATGTTTCACCAGTAAAAAGTGTCAACATTAAAATAAAAATGTTTACAACACAGCAGTCTCATAGACTTTAAGGTCAGAAGGGACCATTATGATCATCTAGTCTGACCCCCTGCACAATGCAGGCCACAGAATCTCACCCACCCCCTCCTAGAATAATCCTCTCACCTATATCTCAGATATTGAAGCCTTCAAATAGTTTGAAGACCCCAGACAATTTATGGTGATAGCTAAAGATATGCAAATAATTTCTGACTGGCTAAATTATAGCATAAGTATGTTTTATAAAACATGCAGTTTACCATATAAAGGCTGGTGATTAAACTGTGCTCAACATTATTTGTAAACAAATATGTATACACTATTTTCTAAACAGAACAACCTGCTTAATGCAGCTCACCTGTCCATATACAACTACTAGTGTATAATATTTTATTCACTAAGCTGAAAAGTCAAACTTCCAGTCTTTCAAGCTAAGCTGTTTGGTCTGAACTGGGAAAGAGCATCATTAGGCCTCCTTTGATAGTAACGAAAGGGCAACCAATACAAGCATATTTTGCTTTCATATTTGAGGATATATTTCCTAATTTCATAGGCATTAAAAACGCTCTTCACAACCAAACCTCAAACCTCCACTACTTGTGCCCTTCTAATCTTCATTTTCATTAAACATTGCCATGACCCCTGGTCCTACAAGCTGCACCTCACAGGGAGGGCCCCTCTGCAGGGCAATTTGCCGAAATGGGTGCCTGACCCAGACACCTGACTTTTCTAACAAAATGTAAGCGATCAGGTGACACGTTTCGCAGCAGATTAGTTTCACGTAAATAACAAATCAAACTGCGCTGAGTTCGGACCATTGAAGCGCAGTGCGGGATGCTTATCGCGGTGAAGCAGAGGTGCTACGAAAATCCTCCCACCACCCAGCTAGTCCATATCACACCGGCCGTCTGCCCAGCCCCGCAGCGGCTGAGGGCAGAACCCCCAGCGCCGACTCGCCGGGGTGGATTTCACAATTCAAGAGGCCAGGAGAGCCAGGCCCCCGAGACAGGCAGTCCCGGCTGCCCCCGCCCTGGACGAAGCTCCCCGGGTCGCGCAGCTCGCTACAGTCGGCCCTGCACTCACGCTCCGCGCTTGCTCCAGGGCCAGCCCGCAGAAGCGTTGCGTTGTCTCTCGGAAGTCCGGCCACAGGCCTGGGACTGCAGCCTCCGGGGCATCCTGCCGGCTCTCCCCGGCGGCCATCTTACTGCTGCAGCAGGAGGCAACGGCGAGGGGACAAGGGGCGCTCCGGGCCCATCACCGGCTGCGGGAGCGCCAACCCCAACAGCGCCCACGCAGCATGACAACCGAGCGGGCCGTACCACCTTCCCGGAGAGGGGGACGAGGGGAGGAACCAAGGCTGCCTGGCGGGGGGAGGCGACTGCCACGGGTGGGAACTGAGCAGGTGGGATTACACCACTAGCCCAGAAACGCGGGCCGAGCCAGGCGGCACCATTCGGGCGGGAGGGGGAGTGCCGCACCACTGTTCCGAGGGGAAAAGGTCTCCGCTGAGCCTCTATGCAGGGTTCTCCAGTCACCACATTAGCCCACCCCTATCCATTGTGCGCACCTGTAGCGCTGAGTCGGAGGGCATGGCCCCCAGAACACACCGCGTGTTGGGACTTGCAGACTCAGAGGCCACCGCCTGAACGTCACACGGGGGTGGCTCTTTGTCCTCCATTTTAGGAACACTGAGGGGAGGCTCCTGAGATGCCAACGTGTACCCCCTCCCCCGTTTGGGCAAGACTCCGGCAGCCTTAGAGTAGCACCGGTCACTTTAGCAGGACTGGGCCGAGCAGGTCCAAGGAAACACAAGCAGCTTGTAACAAGCCTGCTCCAAGTCATGGGGCCCATTGAGACCCTGCAAACTTGTGACAAAGTGCTCGTGTCAGTCACGTGCAGTTCTATAACAAATTACTAGTCGAGATTAAAGGGGTTAGATTTTCATATTTATCGGGCTGTGGAAGCCTTACCCTCGTCCTTTTACCTCCCCACTAATATCCTCAATAATCCCATATCTCTGTGGCCAATTTAGGAAGCCTACCTGCAATTCTCTTTAGAGCCCATCAAAATAATATTTAGTCTCTTCTAAAATAAATCATTTGAGAGCACTGAAAGGCACACAGTGCTCCTAGTCTGAGATGGTAGGAATTTGAGCTCCAGTGCTCTGTTTAAAGGTTCAGTATGCTGTTAACTAGACTGGTAGCCTAACCTCGTAGCTGAAGCAAAATACAGGACTATGTAGCACTTTAAAGACTAACAAGAAGGTTTATTAGATGATGAGCTTTCGTGGGCCAGACCCACTTCCTCAGATCAAATAGTGGAAGAAAATTGTCATAACCATCTATACCAAAGCATACAATTAAAAAAAAAAGTGAACACATATGAAAGGACTAATCAAATTTCAGAACAGAAGGGGGACGGAGGGACGGGCAGGTAAATGTCTGTGAGCTAATGATATTTGAGGTGATAATTGGGGAAGCTATCTTTGTAATGAGTAAGATAATTAACGTCTTTGTTTAAACCTAAGTGTAAAGTGTCAAATTTCATGCTTAAATTCGACACTTTACACTTAGGTTTAAACAAAGACGTTAATTATCTTACTCATTACAAAGATAGCTTCCCCAATTATCACCTCAAATATCATTAGCTCACAGACATTTACCTGCCCGTCCCTCCGTCCCCCTTCTGTTCTGAAATTTGATTAGTCCTTTCATATGTGTTCACTTTTTTTTTAAATTGTATCCTTTGGTTGTGACAATTTTCTTCCACTATTTGATCTGAGGAAGTGGGACTGGCCCACGAAAGCTCATCACCTAATAAACCATCTTGTTAGTCTTTAAAGTGCTACATAGTCCTGTTTTTTGTTCCAGCTACACCAGACTAACACGGCTACATTCCTAACCTCAATTTGGTCACTAGCCACACTCAACCAGCCAAATAGCTACGTGACTAGTATGTTGGACACCACAAGCTGAGGGCCCTGCTTTATCCAGGGTATTACCCATCTTTCCGGCTGACCTTCTGGAAATGAACCTAGTGTTAGTGAGAGTTTGGGGAGAATATTCTCTCCCAATGCCTTCTACAACTTTATATATAGGAACCAAAAAAAAGGGGAGGGGCGGGAACTGGGGGAAAAATAATTAAACTAAGCAAACTGTGAGGATTAAGAAAAAAGTAAAGGAGAAATGGAGGAAGCCAACTTGAATACCCCATTCTGAAAATACTACCTTTGAGGTAATGCGCACAGTTTCAAACACCTATTATACCCTAATGAAGCTAAGAGTTCTATCTAATGCTGACTCAGGCTAGTTAAAATCTCAAGATGGCAGGAAAAGCCTTTCACAGACAGATATTAGAAATTCTACATTTAACTCCAGAGATTGTTTCAGTGCTGGAAACTCCTGTTTCAGGTGGAAGTGTTTTAATACAGTTGACTTGGCATTTATAACTTACAATATGCAAACAGAAGCCTTTCATCGCAAACTTCACTCACCTTTCAAACATTTAAAGAGGTATAATTCAGAAATAAAAAGTTAAGGAAATAAATGAGAGAGATCATGACAACAGTACTTAGAAGTATTTCCAGGGCAACGGATCAATTATTCCATTTTGATATGAACGGTATGGCATTCAGTGGATACAGAACCAGTCTTTTCTTAGCTAGATTATAACTACTTGTACAGAAACTTACCCCTTCCTTTGTTTTTGATGTTTCCATTTGTGAATCAAATATTGTAATCACATAACAAAAATGTCTATAAACATTATAAGCATAAAAATAGCTCTAGTTTCTTAAGGAAAGTTCCTGATCCAGTCAGAGACACATCCTGCACTGGTTGTTTCCAAATGGACAGAGATCCTGTTTTGACATTTCTGCAGTCAGGCAAGGGGAGGCCAGAGGTGGATTAATGACTAACAACAAAGTTTCTCGTTTCATGGCTCCTTTCCTTTGTAAATATATATTAATTCACAATATGTGTTTTTTAAATTATAATGCAAAGAAATATTATATTTGGAAATCTAATATATATATATATTACTCATTTTTTCATAAAAGATAAAGTACACCATTTAACAGCTGTAAAAAACTGACTAAATTGTGGACCAATACCACCTATTGGAATTACACACAAACACAGAGGCTACAGAAAACATTGATAAGCCATATCCTAGCTACGTGGCATTATAATTTTATTTATTTCATTATTAGTGCCACTTGATTTTTATATTCCATTATGATTTTTAAAATTATAATTGTTTGTAAATCCCAGCTTCTAAAAAGTTTGCATGCAGCAACATATGCAATTTGCATGTTTTAGTGTGAAAATCTAAGAGGAATGCAATACAAAGTTGCTGTTGGTACCTTATAATATACATGAGAATTTGAAAGTAGCCATTTTCTTTGTACTGAACAGTAACAATTTTAATTTTAACATGGTCTGTAATATTATAGTATTCCTAATGTGAATACTTCTATGAACCCCAATTGACCATTAAAGTCTTAATTTTTAATGAAAACAAATTATTCATGTTTCTTTCTCATGGTTTATGTATTTGACAGAACACAGTGGAATAAATGATAAGCATATACTGTAATTATTTATCCCAACATGTTTCAAACATTAAGACTGATTATACCTCATCTGAACCTCAGACTTTTTTGGTATATGACCTTTCAGATATGCTTCCTGTATTTGTGTTTCAAGATTCCAATGTTTCTCTGCCTTCCTTAACATCCTTCTGCCATCGTTTCTAAGAAATTTACACCCTCTTTACTTTGCCCCCAATCCTATTTATCAATTTGAACCCTGTCAAATTCTCACATCCTCTCTTTCCTCTGCCTCTCCAGACCTCCTTTCCATCCCTTCAGTTATCCCTGTCTTCACCCTCTTTGTTTTGTTTCTCCCAGACATTCCTCTCCAAGTGCCCCATATCTCTGCCTACCACTTTCACCTTCGTTTTTCAAGCCTCTCCCCACAGTTCACTTTTTCCCCCTTCCCCCAATTCCCTTTGTTTCTCCCATGTTCCATCTCCCTAGTGGTACCAATTTTCCATACCTCCAGGCACAACCGGTACCCCAGAACTCCCCTCCCCAATACTCCTTTCTTTACTGGTGCACTTCCCTCGCTCTACGAGATGTTACCATTGCCTCTCTCATCAGCTCCATAAATTCTACCTTGCGCGAGCCTCCCAATCAAGTTTCCCCAGACCACCCGTTCCCCACTGATCCCCATTCTCTCTCGCGAAGAACCTCTTGGACCTCTCCCCACTCCCAGCCCCACCCCCGAGTCTGTCCCCCAATTCCTCCTTCCCACCTGTCCAGTGATCAGACCCAGTATTTCCATGTCCCTCCCTGTACCATCTGCCTACTTTCCCCCACGGTACTTGTACCCCTCCCAAGCTCCGCTCTGTCCCTCCCCTTTTGTCAAGCACCTGCCAAGCACCCCCTTTCCAAAGTCCCTTTCCAATATGTCTTCCCCGTGCATTTTCCCTCTCCAATGTCCCTTTTGTGCTCCCACCACCTCTTGCCTCTCTTCCCCCTCCCCTCCCCTCTTCCTCGGAGAAGCAGCACGAGTTGCCGTTGCTGCTGCTGGCAGCCGAACAGGAGACCAGCAACTAAGTCACGGTGCCTCCCTGCCTGTCCCCTACGCCAAACTGACACGGAGGGAGGAGAGTATCCAAACAGGGAGGAGGCTGAGCCAGCTCCCAAGTCTAACTGTATGGGGACACAGCGGCCC